TAAATATAAACGGTCTGGCATAGACCTTCAAAAGGCCATTGGGTTCCCATAACAAGGGGTATGGGAATATGGCCTGGGTTTTTGGAAATTTGTAGTAGAAAGATACAAAAAGATCTCAAAGGCACTGAATATGGTACAATTTTTACTAGGCGAATGGTTAGAATTAGAACTCTGTAATTTGTAATGAAGGGCCACTGAGTGTAGCATAGACGTAAATTTTGGAAATTTAGAACTGTAAGTGTACGCAAAGCACCAAAAGCTACTAATTTGGTACAAAGATATCTTCTATGCTCCATAGATGAGTTGAAGGTCTTCTATGGTCTATAGATGAGTTGAAGATCTTCTATGATCTATATATGTGCTGGAGGTCTTCTTTGGTCCGTAGATGGGCTGGAGGTCTTCTATGGTCTATAGATAAGCTGAAGGTATTCTTTAGTTCATAGATGAGCTAGAGGTCTTCTTTGATCCATAGATGAGCTGAAGGTCTTCTAGGGTCCATAGATGATCTGAATGTCTTCTATGGTCCATAGATGAGCTGGATGTCTTCTATGGTCTATAGATGAGTTGGAGGTCTTCTTCTATGGCCCATAGATGAACTGGAGTTCTTCTATTGTCCCTAGATGAGCTGCATATCTTCAATAGTCCATAGATTAGCTGGATGTCTTCTGTAGTGCATATATGAGCTAGCGTTCTTCTATTGTCCATAGAGGAGCTGAAGGTCTTCTATGGTCCATAGAGAATCTGAAGGTCTTCTATGGTCCATAGAGAAGCTGAAGGTCTTCTATGGTCCATAGAGGAGCTGAAGGTCTTCTATGGTCCATAGGGAAGCTGAAGGTCTTCTATGGTCCATAGAGGAGCTCCAGGTATTCTATGGTCCATAGTGAAGCTGAAGGTCTTCTATGGTCCATAGAGAAGCTGAAGGTCTTCTATGGTCCATAGAGGAGCTGAAGGTCTTCTATGGTGCATAGAGGAGCTGAAGGTCTTCTATGGTGCATAGATGAGCTGAAGGACTTCTATGGTCCATAGATGAGCTGGAGGACTTCTATGGTCCATAGATGAGCTGGAGGTATTCTAGGGTCCATAGATGAGCTGGAGGTCTTCTATGGTCCATAGATGAGCTGAGGTCTTCTATGGTCCATAGATGAGCTGAAGGACTTCTATGGTCCATAGATGAGCTGAAGCACTTCTATAGTCCATAGAGGAGTTGAAGGTCTTCTATGGTCCATAAATGAGCCGGAGGAGTTGGAGTTGTTATGTGCTGTTCTGCGAAAAAACGAAGTCCCCCTAAGGGTCATCGATAGATAAAAGATCCTATAGATAAAAGATAAGTGTAGAAGTTCGCTAAGGGGTTTTATGTATATGAGTTTTCACTCCATGACCTCCAAAGGACAGATAGCCCCTCAAGGATCTTATGAGGAAGAAGGAAGATATAATGTTTCATTATGCTCCTTTGTTGCACCCAGCTGTGTTTGAATGCACTATTGCTTAGTCAGCGCGGAAAGTCATAAGCCAAACCATCTGCTAGGGTGGGTGCAATGCAATTCAATCATTTTTTATGCCATTCATAATTTCTATTTCTGTAGTGTGTGTTGTGCGAAACGATTAAGTGCGTTTTTGTTTTTACTCGAGGCTCTCGCAGCGGGACAAGGCACAACAACAAAACGCAAAAATCAAAACAAACAAAAAAAAACTTAAAGATACCAAATAAATTACAATATGGTTACAAATGGTCGCATTATACGATAAGAGGGAAGGAGGATAGAAGTATGGCAACAAAACTGGACGAAGGGTTGGAGTTGTTATGGGGGTGCTGCGGAAAAAAAACGAAGAAGACAAGTCGAATAGAGAAAAACAACAAATAACGTAGCAATAAAAACATGAATGCCGCCAATGCACATTTGGAGGAGTTGCAACTTTGCCTGTCGGCTGTCTATCCCACTACTGTTTGTTTGGGATAGTCGGTTGGCCCAACAACTGCAACACTTAAGACTAGAAGTTGCATACACACGCGGAGGAATCCTCCAACAAAAACAAAATAGCGCTGGTGTTTAGGTTTTGTTGTGTATATTTTTTTTTAACTTTTTGCTGGCAGCCACTTAGAGCTCCTTATGGGCCGGCATGCAAATAAGGTTCTCTAGGCGCGGGCATATTTTTGTTGTATTTGCTCTTTTTGTGATTTGTTCATCATCATATTGTTTTTTTTTTTTTCTACATATTTTATTTGTTTGATATGGACGTTGTTATTGAATTGTTGTTTTTGTTGCTGGTTGGTTGGTTATTTGACCGGAAATAAACGACGTGACTTTTATTTGATGAAAATTTATACGAACGAACTCAAAGAAATATCCATGAAAACAAATCTGTGAATATTTTTTGATTCAATTGAAAACATGGCTAATCATTTGGTGCCTTCAGCGAATGGCAAAACGAACTGAAGGAAAAAAAGAATTGAAAAGAATATTGGTGACCACCACGTTCCCATAATTCGATGACCACCCGCCGGCCAAATAGGCATTCCTCAACCACTCAGCAGCATATGTTGTGCATTTTGCATATGAAATTTTGAACTTTTTGAACGTTCTGATGATTTTAGATATGAATGATGGCTTGGATTGGTTGACAGGTTACAAAAACCTTCATATTTTTTTACAGATTGGCTGTAATACATATAAGAAATTATATATTTTTGGAGAATTAAAAACAAAATTCTTCCTTAGTGGCTCTCTAGTGACCCTGAGTTTATGGACCATACCATAAAATAATGTAAGGTCTTCTGTGGTCTATACAATATTTTGATACCTCTGGTCTACAAAGGTGCTGAATCTCTTTTATGGTCCACTGAAAAGATGGAGATCTTCGAAGATCTATAGAACAGGAGGTCTCCTATGATCCAATGGGGAGTTAAGGTCCATAGATGAGTTGGAGGTCTTCTATGGTATACAAAAGAGCTGAAGGTCTTCTATGGTCCATAGAGGTGCTGAAGGTCTTCTATGGTCCATAGAGGAGCTGAAAGTCGTCTATGGTCCATAGAGGAGCTGAAAGTCTTCTATGGTCCATAGAGGAGCTGAAAGTCTTCTATGGTCCATAAAGGAGCTGAAGGTCTTCTATTGTCCATAGAGGAGCTGAAGGTCTTCTATGGTCCATAGAGGAGCTGAAGGTCTTCTATGTTCCATAGAGGAGCTGTAGGTCTTCTATGCTCCATAGATGAGCTGTAGGTCTTCTATGCTCCATAGTTGAGCTGTAGGTCTTCTATGCTCCATAGTTGAGCTGTAGGTCTTCTATGCTCCATAGATGAGCTGTAGGTCTTCTATGGTCCATAGATGAGCTGTAGGTCTTCTATGGTCCATAGATGAGCTGAAGGTCTTCTATCGTCCATAGAGGAGCTGAAGGTCTTCTATGGTCCATAGAGGAGCTGAAGGTCTTCTATGGTCCATAGAGGAGCTGAAGGTCTTCTATGGTCCATAGAGGAGCTGAAGGTCTTCTATGGTCCATATATGAGCTGAAGGTCTTCTATGGTCCATAGAGGAGCTGAAGGTCTTCTATGGTCCATATATGAGCTGAAGGTCTTCTATGGTCCATATATGAGCTGAAGGTCTTCTATGGTCCATATGTGAGCAAAATTTTCAAATTCCAGCATCCCAACAAGGCTCTTTGAAAAATTCTTTAGAAATTACACCATTACCCAAAATGTAGAAGGTCACAGGGTATTCCTCTCCCACAAATGTCATAACACGCAAACTCTTTTTCATTGGCGCAGAGAGAAAAAAAACACAAAAAATGTGAATAACAAAAATATCTGTCGCCTTTTTCCTTATCTTATCACCGCTCACTGGCGTTATTTAGTGTCGCAGAGTTTTGTCTTTATTCTGTGTGTTTGGTTGATACACCAAAAACAACAACAACAGCAACAAAAGACAGAGTGTAATGAAATATTCGATTGAAATTGTTTATACTTTTCTATATAGTTGTGTTTTATTTTGAACCAACAACGAAGTAAAAAAAGAAACGAAGGCAAAGCTTCAATGATAAATACCTGCTGAATTATTCATTTATAAGAGGGAGATTGGCAAATTACGGAATTTCTTAGGGCAGACAATAGAATAGAAGAGCTTGATGTCTTCTATTGTCAATGGAAGAGCTTGAAGTCTTCTATTGTCGATAGAAGAGCCTGAGGTCTTCTATTTACATATAGAAGAGCTTGAGGTCTTCCGCTGTCGATAGAAGAGCTTGATGTCTTCTACAGCCCGTAGAGGAGCCTGAGGTATTCTATTGTCCGTGGAAAAGCTTGAGGTCTTCTATTGCCCGATAGAAGAGCTTAAGGCCTTCTATTGCCACATAGAAGAACCTGAGGTCTTCTACTGGCCTATACAAGAACTTGAGGTCTTCCGCTGTCGACATATGAAGTTTATATTGCCTGATAGAAGAGCTTGAGGTCTTCGATTGTCCGATAGAAGAACTGGGGGTCTTCTATTGTTCCTTTTCTATTTCTCCTTTTAACACTTTTTCCTTTAACTTATTGATCGACCACCCTTAGGTACCACACACCTTTCCTTCATTGATTTTGCCTGATAATGTTATTCTTTTTTTTCATTTGACGATATTTGACTTAATTAGAAATTGCGCGTGCAAAAATATAACAACATGGAATTCCAAGAACTTCTGGCATACCCACAACCCTACCTAATACCCCTGCTCTAAAAATGTAACCTTTGTTAGCCAAATCAAGCAGATACTGCAGCGACGTAGAGTGAATGTGGCACCCCCTAACAGCAAAAAAGCTAGCGCTGTCTGATATCGTTCATTTGTGTATGTTCTACCGTTGTATTTTTAATTGTTTTCAAAAACAACACTATTTTTGTGGATTCGAATCTTATCACAAAGTAAGGCACAACATTTTCATATTTAAAACGATCGCAATAAAAATAGCGTTAGAAAGGAAAAAAATAGAATGTGGTCTGAGATTTTTATTGAGAAAGAAAAAGAAAATCCATTAAACTTACCTAATGACGCCTCATGATCTGAGATATCCGATATACTGCATATTGGCGGTGGCAAATCCTTCAGACCATCTAGTGGTTCTTCTTTGATGAATATATTTTTGCTCTGTAAGAAAAAAAGAAAACGAAGAATGTAAATTCATAATATCGAAAGTCGGGAGATACCGTTATATAAGGGTCATAGTAAAAGGTGGACATATGTAGCCTATTTTCAATACCAATCATTCTAGATATAATTCCAAATCTCAATGCGGTGTCTATCGAAATATAGACGGGAGGACATAGCTAAATCGCCTTAGGATTTTACATCAACCAAGAATACAGGGTGAGATAAAAAACTTCAACAAACTTCAGACTGCTGTCATTTCTAAGCCACTCGTCTGACAGCTGTTAAAATTATTCCAGTGACAGCATTTATGTAAGAATTTTCCAAAAGTTATTTGTGATGGAATTCAATCGTGATAATACGATTTCTTTATATTTGTCGAGGAAGTGGACGGAAGAAAACATCAGCAGAAATAGTTTGAAAAGTAAAGAAGCTACTTGATCGAAACCCGCGTCGCAATGGCTCGTAGAGAATGGCTGAACACATCGCAATATACCATTCGGCAAATATTGAAAAATGAGCTAGGGGTAAAGCCATTGAAATTCCAAAAAATGCAAGAATTTACAACGCAAGAGCTAAAAAGTTGCTTCGCTTGGCCGCAAGTGGTGAACTGCCGAATTTGGTTTTTTCCGATGTGAAAACATTCGTTGTCCAGCAATGTGTAAACAAACAAAATGGTCGTGTTTACTTGCCAAAGAGGTCAACTGAAAATGTGCACCTTCGGCTGGCCGCCAGAACTCAAGCGCCGGCCATGGTGATTGTGTGGGCGGCCATAACAGCCGATGGTCGCTCTCCGCTTGTATTAATCAACCGTGGTATCAGAATAAATGCCGAATATTATCGCGAAAATATTCTGGAGGCTGTATTAAAGCCTTGAAAACGCAAACATTTTGGCCGCAGACCTTAGACATTCCAACAGGAGGTTCTTCGCATCATTTCCAGCGCACAATGGCGACTAAAGTCTCCGGATACCAATCCGTTGGACTATTGTGTCTGGAGTATTTTGGAAAGCAAGGTTGGCACTAAAAAATGCCAAAGTGTCGATCACCTCAAGCAAGCGCTTCGCCGGGGATGGGCCAAATACCACGGAGCAACATTCAGGCAGTGTGTGACGGTTTCATTGGCCGTTTGAAGGCCAGAATTCGTGCCAAAGGTGACCAAATCGAGCAAATCTAAACTAAAATTTTTTTGCTTTCATTCAATAAAATTAAAAAAAGGAAAAATATGGCGTTTGACTTTGTTGCAGTTTTTTTTTATCTCACCCTGTATATTCTGTTAAAACTTTGTAAATATTTCACCCACGGTCTAAACATTCTTATATTCTCAGTCCTCCTCTCCATTTGTCAAATCAATCCGATGATCCATTCCCAAAATCAAAACATAAATCTCAGCAAACATTAAAATATTGCCAGAACCAATGTTTATGTTTCTTTCAAACCACATCTAGACCTTGACAAAACAAAAGGGGAATAGAAATTTCAAACAAAATGAACATGCAAAACAACAAAAAGCGAAAAGGGAAGAAAGAGACCCAAGAATACCCATTTCATTATTTGTTTATTGAATTGATAATTGTGATATTTGTGAAACATTTATTTGACTATTTTGACCTCCATTATCATAATAAATGACAAGATCGTTAGCAGACTTGTTGTGTGCCCAATATTACCCCCAAAAATCAACACGAACAACAACAACAATAAGGAAAGACATCAACATTATCATCAGCACGATTTAGCTGTAAAATAGATGAGGATTCCTGACAAGCCATTCATCTATGGACAAAAATTACGTTTTCTGTCACATCAACCCCTTATAGTCCAAAAAACAATTGGGGGACTCTACACACACAAACGCTCATTTATTTCTGTCATTCCAACATATAAACAAACATCTATTATGGGAAACATATACAGTGACAGTCGCTCGCTCACTCACTCACTCACTCATTCATTCATTCATCCAACCATCCATCCATCCACAATATTAAACAAGTCAAAGATACAATTGAATTTAAGTCCCCCCAAATAATAAAAAGTCATGAATGTCAGCCGCAGTCGGTCGTCTATGGCTGTCCGCCCTCTACGTTAAAACACACACAACATCAAGCATCTGGGCTACCTATCTTCATTGAGATACCCCCTTTCAACTCCTCCACAAAATGGCTCATAAAATTCTCAATGTGTTGATAGTTCTTTTTTCAGTTGGATGCTGTTGCCGTGATGTTTATCAGACTGAGAATCGGAACAATTCTATCAGCTCTCAACCCAGATGAACTCTTACACTCAATGCGTTTGATGTTCTGATCAATGTGGGGAAAGAATATTAAGTGAGTTTCGAAACAAAATAAGGAACAGTAGTTACAAAACTCAACTCAAACAAACATGTTTTAAAATCTATATAACATATGTTTAAAAAGGTGGTCGACTTCGACCTCCAGAATGGCCATTGTGCAAAATAGGTGTGGTGGCCATATGTCCGAAACTATGTTTAAACGTTAAATAACAAGAAATTATCTACCGAATAATTCTTTTTCCCATTTTATAATTTTGCACGTTTTGTATATAAATTTCAAATCACTAAGCTCTTAGAAAAACACCCTTTATATAATCGAGTAGTGAAATAACTGACTGACAGACCCAGAGTCAACGACAGTAATAGGTACTAAAAACAGGTTAAAAAGTATCAGTCGGTTAAGCCGACAGGTGTACAGGGTGAGTTGAAAAAGCTGCAACCAACTTTAGAGTGCTGTCATTTCTAAGCCACTTGTCCGACAGCTGTTAAAATTATTCCAGTGACAGCATTTTGATGAGAATTTTCCGGAAAAAAATTATTCGGGATGGAATTCAAGCGGGATAGTGTGCTTTCTTTATATTTGGCTGGAAAACCACAAGTGGCTATCGTTAGAGCACTCCTGCGTTTAAATGTGAACAAATCTTTTGTGTCTCGGACCATCGCCCGTTATCGTGATACTGGTAGCGCAGCCCGAAGTGGACGGAAGAAAACAGCAACATCAGCAGAAATGGTTCGAAAAGTAAAGAAACCGGCGTCGCAGTGGCCGAAAAATGGCCCGTGAGCTGAACATATCGCAATATTCCATTCGGCAAATATTGAAAAATGAGCTCGGGGTAAAGCCATTGAAATTCCAAAAAGTGCAAGAACTTATACCGCTTCAGAAAGAAAATAGACTCAAAAGGTAATGAGTTTCTTCGCTTAGCCGAAAATGGTGAACTGTCAAATTTGGTTTTCTCCGACGAGAAAACATTCATTGTCCAGCAGTTTGTAAACAAACAAAATGATCGTGTTTACTTGCCAAAGAGCTTAGCTGAATATGTGCACCTTCGATTGGCCACCAGAACTCAAGCGCCGGCCATGGTGATGTTGTGGGCCGCCATAACAGCCGATGGTCGCTCTCCGCTCGTATTAATCGACTGTGGCATCAGAATAAATACCGAATATTATCGCGAAATTATTCTGGAGGGTATATTAAAGCCTTGAAAACGCAAACATTTTGGCTGCAGACTTTAGACATTCCAACAGGACTCAGCACCATCGCACTCAGTACGCAGCACCCAAGAATGGTTAGAAAATAAGGTTCCTCGCTTCATTTCCAGCGCACAATGGCCACCAAAATCGCCGCATACAAATCCGTTGGACTATTGTGTCTGGAGTATTTTGGAAAGCAAGGTTGACACTAAAAAATATCAAAGTGTCGATCACCCCAAGCAAGCGCTTTGCCGGGGATTTTCCAAAATCCCGAAGAGCAACATTCGGGCAGCGTGGCCGTTTGAAGGCCATAATTCGTGCCAAAGGTGACCAATTTAAACAAATCGAAACTTATTCTGAAATTTGATGCTATTTCGGAAATTTGTTGCTTTCATTCAATAAAATTTAAAAAAAAAATTTAAAAATCATGGCATTTCACTTTGTTGCAGTTTTTTACCCGGTATACCCTTACTAACCATATAACCGTGGGTATAAAAATTTAGACCGACAAAGTGTAATCCTTTTGCCTTTTTTTCAGAGTAATGATCATTCAACGATTTAACCATTTATGGGCAGGGCACCCAAAGGAGTGGAGCGATATTACCCGTTTTCACATTTATCCTAGGTCTGATACAAATGTCACATCGTAACGAAGTTAGAATCTAATCCGGATATTTTTCCAAGGCATATTTTGATCATAGGACTAATAAACACTCTCTGATTTTCTTAAAAAATATATATCTCTAGTGTTGTGGAACCACTGTTTCCCTTTTCATAGATTCCCGCCAGACTTGGAGCCTCATATTTCCAGTCTTACTCATGGATCATACGAAATGACCGTTGTTGCATTGTATGTCAGACAAGCGTTCATGCACCCATACATGAATACAAACATACAAGAACGTTTGTTACACTCATCTATTTAATTGGGTAAAAGTGTATCACATGGAAATGTTGTTGTTTCTGTCCGCCTTTTGCTTGATTTTTTTTTTTTTTGTAGTTATTGTCGAATTGACAAGAACGACAACCGAACAAAAACTCATTTGCATGTATGAATATGCGATCCAGTCGAATCACTCACTCATGGTGATAGAACCGAGTCTATGTTCAAGTGAAATAAGTATAAACAAATTCAATATTTTTTAACACTCCGCCGAAGTGAAACACAAATTGTTTGGCTAGTCCAAGTCCATTGGGGCAGATGATAATGGACGAAGATGATGATGATAATCTCTGACAGTTATAAATAGTAATTTATGACATTTTTACGAGTTGTTGACTTAGATTTAGAAAATGATGACGATGGAGGCTTTGATGGAGATTAGATGTAAATACAGGGTGAAATAAAAAAAACTGCAACGAAGTCAAACGCCATAATTTTTATTTTTTTTTAATTTTATTGAATAAAAGCAAAAAATCTCGGAAATATCATCAACTTTTAGAATAAGTTCGAATTGGTCACCTTTGGCACGAAGTGATCGACACTTGGGTATTTTTTAGTGCCAGCCTTGCTT